CTTCTCTCCCTCCTTCCCTCCCTCCCTCCCTCCTTCCTTCCTTCCTTTCTTTTTTCCTCTTCCTCCTCTTCCTCTTCTTTGAGACAGGATCTCACTATGTTGCTCTGGCCTAGAGGCCTAGAACTCACTTTGTAGTCCAGGCTGTCTTCGAACTCACAAAGATCCGCTTATTTCTCCATCCCAAGTGCCTGTGTTATTACCCATGACAATGCTATCCCCCCACTTTCATTATCTTAATTCTTATAGGTATCCCTAAGAGAAGCTGAGAGGAAAAGAACAGAAAGTTTAAAAGTGAACAGCAAATACTAGAAAAATATAAGCAAGTGGGAATAAATAGAAGAAAAAAGAGGAAGATGCTGCAAAAGCCAGTCTGATCTGCCTGGAGTGGGAGTTACAGGCTGTTGTGAGCTGCCTGATATGAGAACTTGGAATTGAACGGGTCCTTTGGAAAAGCAATGGACACATGGTGAGAACCTGCCTCAAATAAAATAAAATAAAATAAAATAAAATAAAATAAAATAAAATAACCAAAAAGGGGCCAGAGGGCTGACAAGCATGTCTGTTCCTAGCGACTTTATGGTCTTATTAGGATCTTCACTCAGCCTCTGGCTTTTGCTTTCCTTTCTCCATGACCATATTATTTACAACAGTAGGCTTGTCCACTGCACAGTACTGCTACTGATGACCCTTGACCTTCAGCCTACCTCCTAAACAATCCCTGGGGAAAGAGTTCTCTCTCAGAGCGTCTGCCTATCTGTTTTAGAAAAGGAGGTTGGTTGACCCTGCGTGAATCATATGCTTTCTTTCTTGCAGCCCATGGTGTTCAGGGGTCACTGGGCCTGTCTGTGGCAGGATTGTGAGCAGGGAGGAGAGGCCTGAGCGTGCCTGAATGAGGAGTCCTTCGGAGCATGTGTAACGTGGGAGGCGTGTTCTAAGGGAGCTAAGGGGCCAGTGATGAAAGCTACACTGTAATAGTCTGAAGGATCCATCATTACGTAGAGTGTGTTTAATTCAAAGAATTCTGTTTTTTTTCTGAGATCATATGCCTTTAAAATTATAGGTCAGGGCTGGTTAGTTGGCCTAGCAGATAAATGTACCTACCACGGATCCTGATGACCTACATTAGATACCCAGAACTCATGTGGTAGGAGAGAACTGGCTTCTAAGGTGTCCTCTGAGCTCCGTATGTGATGAACTACCTGAGTGTGCATGCACACACATGAGGCGGGGTACACACGCACACAAACGACCCTTTCTGTTGGCTTCCCTTTTTATTTTGTTTCTTTCTTTTCTTTCTTTGTTCTTTCTTCTTCCTCTTCCCCCCTCTTTTTCTTCTGTTTTGGTCCTCTGAGACAGGGTTTCTCTGTGTAGCCCTGGCTGTCTGGAACTTGTTCTGTAGCCTAGGCTGGACTGGAACTCAGAAATCTGCCTGGCTATATATCCAGAGTGCCAGGATTAAAATTGAGTGCAACCATACTAGCATGCGTCTTTTATTTTTTTAATGTAAAATAGCTGGTGCTATGGCTTAGTGTTAAAGCACTTGCCTAGCACACAGCCTAGTACTAAATGTTTGTGTGTGTGTGTGTGTGTGTGTGTGTGAGAGAGAGAGAGAGAGAGAGAGAGAGAGAGAGAAAGGGGGAGCGGGAGGGCGAGGGAGAGGGAGAGGGAGAGGGAGAGGGAGAGGGAGAGCGAGAGCGAGAGCGAGAGCGAGAGCGAGAGAGAGAGAGAGAGAGAGAGAGAGAGAGAGAGAGAGAGAGCATGTTGATAGTTGTTGATGAATCATTGGCTCTCTCCAATTCCCTGTTAGCTCCTGTAGGTGTGTGGAACCTGTGTCATAGTGTTCTGCTGGTAGTCTCAGGAGCATTTGTATATGCATGGGTTTCTGTCACAGTGTTCATTCATTGTAGTTTATATGCAAGAAGCCTTTTAGCTAGTCAAAGTCTTTGTTTGAATGTACTGTCATCATTTACCTTAAAAGATACCCCAAGCTTCAGTCGTGTCAACAGTGTGTGCAAAGATGATCAATTTTACCTGTAGCATTTTGGTGTGAATACCTTGTCCCAGTTCATTGCCTCCATGTGCCACCAACACAGAGCCATCGGTGTAGATATGGACGAGTGCAGCTGCCTGTAAGATAGTCCAGAATGAGTGCTTCAGCGAGTGTTGGTAAATTCAATGTAAGAAATGAGGGAGAGGCTGAGGTGATGGCTTAGAGGTTAAGAGCACTGGCTGATCTTCCAGATGACCCAGGTTCAATTCCCAGCACCCACATGGCAGCTCAGAACTGTAATTCCAGTTTCCAGGAAATATAATTTCCTCTTTTGGTTTTAATGGGCAATGCACATATGTGGAGGCAAAACTCTCATACACATAAAATAATTTCTAAAAAATTAGGAAAAGAAATGAGGTAGTGAAACCTTACTCTCTGGAGCAGGGAGGTCAGAGATGTGAGATCCCCAGAGGGTCTTGAACTTACTTCTACTCTATCAAAAGTCAACTGGGAAGAATTTCCCGACTTAGCAATTTGGATTTTTTTCTTTTTAGTCAGGGTCTTACTATGTAGCTCTAGCCAGCTTAGAACTCCTTCAGGCTGACTTTGAACTCACAGAAATTCGCCTGCTTTGGTGGACTTTGGGGGACTGAGGTGCCCCAAGTGCTAGGGTTAAAAGCATGTCTGATCATGCCCACCTGGTCTCAAGTACTTGAAAGTCGACTGAGTTGAGGGCTGATTGTGAAGCACTGAGTGGAATACTCTCCTGATCTGTCTGGACACAAGCATGAGCAATCTGCTCAAGGGAGGCATAGATGGTGGGGACACAGGCTGAAACCCAGTCGTTGTCGGGTAGAACCTCAGCGGCTTAAGGCTGTAGAAAATAGACCCTTGTGAAGCTCAGGGTCCCCTGACGTGACAATGAATAGAGGCAGGGGACAGAAGTGAGCAAGGTGTCCCTTTCACCTGTTGCTGAAAGCCCTGCTCCTTGTCACAGCTGTCCTTTAGGGTCTGGTCTCATCCCCCACCCATTACACCACTGTCTCTTCTTGCCTTGTCCTGGGTCCAATCCCACCACGACTCCTCTCCGACCCTGGCTCCTGCTCTGTAATCTTCAGTTCCTAGAGGGTTCCCTGTTCTTCATCTGTCCAGCATTTAGACCCCTCTGTCTCCACTCTCTCAAGACTCCCTGCAGCATCTGACCATAGCTGGGAACGCCCCATCTCCTCCTCCATCCTTCCTCTTTCCAGTTCTGGGTGCAACAGTGGTCCATTCCTCCCAGTTCACACCCACCTGGAGCCTCAGAATGTGCCTCGAGCTGGAAACAGTTTTGCAGATACTATATTTTAAGATGATCAGACTAGTAGAAGGGGGTCCCAAAGCCAACAACTGGTGTGTTTAGCAGACTCTGGGGGCCAGGGATAATGGCCCATGAAGCTGGACTCAACCAGTGGAGTTATATTGCCATAAGCCAAGAAGGGGCAGGAGCCAGAAGAGGCTAGAAGAGCCTGGAAGAGCCTGGAGGGCTTGGTGGTAGAGTGGTTCCTGCTGATAGCTTGACTCTGAACTTGCAACCTATAGAACTGTAGGATATATACACATACACTTACACATATGCATACACATACATTTTTTGAGCTGCCCAGCATGTTTGCTGTGCCTACCACAGGGCACCCCTAGGGCATGGTAAGCTCTGCTCTGAGACTCCCCAAGCAGGGGGCAGGCCTTATGTTACTTTTTGTCCTAGAGAGAACTTTGAGCAGGTTGGACTCACAGGGACACCATGTAGGTTTTGTTAAATTAGATGGGTGGAAAGGTGGTGTTTTTCCTCCCAGTCTGGAGATGCCTGGAGGTTCCGGGATGTCTTGGAGGGGTTGGGGAGCTTGGAGGTGCATGGTACTAATAATAGTATTTATTCACTGTAGCCTGTGGCCAGCCGGCTGTACCACTCTGCTTCCCTCTGTTTGTGAGGAGGCTTCCAGCTGTGTCAGCAGCTGACCTGGAATGACTCTTGCCAGACCTGGCCAAGTGGTTCTTGGGCATATCAATTTACGGCTCTGTGGGGAAGCCGGAGGCCTTTCAGAAGAAGACATCAGCTGAAGTAAAGCTTTCTTCTAAAGTGGCCAAGATAAAAAGTTGGCACCCAGGGATGATAGTGGAGGGGCTGTAGTTTTGGTGAGAAGGGACCATACTGATGACAAAAGTCTTGTTTCTTAGTCTTGTTTCTGGCTCTTGGCACAGTACTTTCAGGTACTTTCTAAATCTTGAAAAGTGCTATCTTTTGCCAAGGGGGTGCCTCAGGAGGTCCCGGGATCGGCTCAGGGTGAGTGGGTCAGCCTGTGTGCATATTTGTGTGTGAGTGATGCTGGTGAGAGTGTATTCCGGTCCCATTGCACATTTCTGAGTTCTGTCCACTTCTTGGGGGATGAACACCCAGAAGACAAACTTTCTCCCTCCCCAGTGTCCTGCCTTAGGCATCTCTTCCATTGGCTGCTTCTGAGTTGTGTCATTTATATTAGCTGGTAATGATAATGATAATAATAATAAAATAATAAGCTGACAATGATAATAAAAAGCTTTCCTGAGTTTTGTGATTTATTCTAGAAAATCATTACAGCTTAAAAAAAAATCATTATTGGGATAGTGGGCCGGGGGACCTCTCAATGTAGTAGTCACTTAGGCAGAAGTATGAGTTGTAGCTGGTGTCAGAGTGGATATAGTCTGTGGGATTTAACCCTTGATTTGTGGAGTCTATGCTAACTCTGAGTAGTTACTATGATGGTCAAACTTGTCTACTAGTCACCCAGCTGCTGTTCAAGTCAGGCTGGTAAAGATACAATATTTGGTGGCAGAGAAAAACCATCCAAGGTCCATTGATTCAGTCAGGCTAGTGGATGTGAAAACTAACCTTGTACCTGTCTATGGAATGGTCGTACTGGACCCAAGCAGGGATATGACACATAAACTGAGGGCATCTTATCCTACCTGTCAGGAGAGAAAGAGCCCTGAGAGATGTGTCTGGGCTCCCCTGGGAGGGGCTTAGGGTTACCCTGGTTGACTTCCAGAGTGTTCAAGGAATCTTGCCAAGTGCTCTGTATTAATTTTCTCAGCCAGTATTCATTAATCCTAAGAGAGTATTATTGTTAGTCTCACTTTACAGTTGATGGAGCTGACGTTCAGAAAGTCTGAACAACTTTATTGACACATACCTAGCAAACGGCAGGCCAAGAATGTCTCAGTGTTTCCTTTCTGACTCCAGTTGACTAAGAATTAGGATCAATTGCTGCTTTTATTTCCTAGGAGGGGATTCTTTTCACAGGGCATGT